TATAACATGACCTAGCTGTATGTTCAGTGGTCGCATTGGTTTCATTTTTGGTTTGCTCGTAGGGCGCTGGCACCCGCATTAAGTGACCCAGAAAATTTGGCACTGCTGTGAATAGTTTAGTCGCAAAGTGAAGATTCACGGGTAAATACCCCAAACTTCTAGATAGGTTCTTTTTCAGCTTTCAGCAGCCCTGGGTGAGTTCTTTAGAGAAATGTGGCTGTTTTTTTTCATGGTGATAATTTTTATGTCCAGCTACACAACGAGATGAGGATGGTCATTGTCATTTTCTGAGCTGCGAACGGGCAGAAAGGTGAGAAAAAGTCGGATTTGACCATTTGTGCTGACCTTTCAATTTCAACGTACCTCTCTATAACATGACCCAGCTGTAATTTCAGTGGTCGCATTGGTTTAATTTTTGGTTTGCTTGTAGGGCGCTGGCACCCGCATTCAGTGACCCAGAAAATTTGGCACTGCTGAGCATAGTTTAGTCGCAAAGTGAAGATTCACGGGTAAAAAGCCCCAAACTTCTAGATAGGTTCTTTTTCAGCTTTCAGCAGCCCTGGGTGAGTTCTTTAGAGAAATGTGGCTGTTTTTCATGGTGCTATTTTCTATGTTTAGCTACACAACGAGATGAGGATGGTCATTGTCATTTTCTGAGCTGCGAACGGGCAGAAAGGTGAGAAAATGTCGGATTTTGACCATTTGTGCTGATATTTCAATGTCAACGTACCTCTCTATAACATGACCCAGCTGTAATTTCAGTGGTCGCATTGGTTTCATTTTGGTTTGCTTGTAGGGCGCTGGCACCCGCATTCATTGACCCAGAAAATTTGGCACTGCTGTGAATAGTTTAGTCGCAACGTGAAGATTCACGGGTAGAAAGCCCCAAACTTCTAGATAGGTTCTTTTTCAGCTTTCAGCAGCCCTGGGCGAGTTCTTTAGAGAAATGTGGCTCTTTTTATTGGTGCTCTTGTCTATGTCCAGCTACACAACGAGATGAGGATGGTCATTGTCAATTTCTGAGCTGCGAACGGGCAGAAAGGTGAGAAAATGTCGGATTTTGACCATTTGTGCTGACCTTTTAATTTCAACGTACCTCTCTCTAACATGAACCAGCTGTTATGTCAGTGGTCGCATTGATTTGATTTTTGGTTTGCTTTTAGGGCGCTGGCACCCGCATTAATTGACCCAGAAAATTTGGCACTGCTGTGAATAGTTTAGTCGCAAAGTGAAGATTCACGGGTAAAAAGCCCCAAACTTCTAGATAGGTTCTTTTTCAGCTTTCAGCAGCCCTGGGTGAGTTCTTTAGAGAAATGTGGCTCTTTTTCATGGTGCTATTTTCTATGTCCAGCTACACAACGAGATGAGGATGGTCATTGTCATTTTCTGAGCTGCGAACGGGCAGAAAGGTGAGAAAATGTCGGATTTTGACCATTTGTGCTGACCTTTCAATTTCAACGTACCTCTCTATAACAAGACCCAGCTGTAATTTCAGTGGTCGCATTGGTTTCATTTTTGGTTTGCTTGTAGGGCGCTGGCACCCGCATTCAGTGACCCAGAAAATTTGGCACTGCTGTGAATAGTTTAGTCGTAAAGTGAAGATTCACGGGTAAAAAGCCCCAAACTTCTAGATAGGTTCTTTTTCAGCTTTCAGCAGCCCTGGGCGAGTTCTTTAGAGAAATGTGACTCTTTTTCACGGTACTCTTGTCTATGTCCAGCTTACCAACGAGATGAGGATGGTCACAGTCATTTTCTGAGCTGCGAAAGGGCAGAAAGGTGAGAAAATGTCGGATTTTGACCATTTGTGCTGACCTTTCAATTTCAACGTACCTCCCAATAACATGACCCAGCTGTAATGTCTGCGGTCAAATTGGTTTAATTTTTGGTTTGCTTGTAGGGCGCTAGCACCCACAATCAGTGACCCTAAAAATTTGGCACTGCTGTGAATAGTTTAGTCGCAAAGTGAATATTCACGGGTAAAAAGCCCCTAACTTCTAGATAGGTTCTTTTTTAACTTACAGCAGCCCGGGCGAGTTCTTTAGAGAAATGTGGCTCTTTTTCATGGTGCTCTTGTCTATGTTCAGCTACACAACGAGATGAGGATGGTCATTGTCATTTTCTGAGCTGCGAACGGGCAGAAAGGTGAGAAAATGTCGGATTTTGACCATTTGTGCTGACCTTTCAATTTCAACGTACCTCTCTATAACATGACCCAGCTGTAATTTCAGTGGTCGCATTGGTTTGATTTTTGGTTTGCTTGTACGGCGCTGCCACCCACAATCAGTGACCCTAAAAATTTGGCACTGCTGTGAATAGTTAGTCGCAAAGTGAAGATTCACGGGTAAAAAGCCCCTAACTTCTAGATAGGTTCTTTTTCAGCTTTCAGCAGCCCGGGGCGAGTTCTTAAGAGAAATGTGGGTCTTTTTCTTGGTGCTTTTGTCTATGTCCATCTGCACAACGAGATGAGGATGGTCATTGTCATTTTCTGAGCTGCGAACGGGCAGGAAGGCTAGAAAATGTCGGATTTTGACCATTTGTGCTGACCTTTCAATTTCAACGTACCTCTCTATAACATGACCCAGCTGTAATTTCAGTGGTCGCATTGGTTTGATTTTTGGTTTGCTTGTAGGGCGCTGGCACCCGAATTCAGTGACCCAGAACATTTGGCACTGCTGTGAATAGTTTAGTCGCAAAGTGAAGATTCACGGGTAAAAACCCCAAACTTCTAGATAGGTTCATTTTCAGCTTTCAGCAGCCCTGGGTGAGTTCTTTAGAGAAATGTGGCTGTTTTTCATGGTGCTATTTTCTTTGTCCAGCTACACAACGAGATGAGGATGGTCATTGTCATTTTCCAAGCTGCGAACGGGCAGAAAGGTGAGAAAATGTCGGATTTTGACCATTTGTGCTGACCTTTCCATTTCAACGTACCTCTCTATAACATGACCCAGCTGTAATGTCAGCGGTCGCATTGGTTTGATTTTTGGTGTGCTTGTAGGGCGCTGGCACCCACAATCAGTGACCCTAAAAATTTGGCACTGCTGTGAATAGTTTAGTCGCAAAGTGAAGATTCACGGGTAAAAAGCCCCTAACTTCTAGATAGGTTCTTTTTCAGCTTTCAGCAGCCCGGGGCGAGTTCTTAAGAGAAATGTGGGTCTTTTGCTTGGTGCTTTTGTCTATGTCCATCTGCACAACGAGATGAGGATGGTCATTGTCATTTTCTGAGCTGCGAACGGGCAGGAAGGTGAGAAAATGTCGGATTTTGACCATTTGTGCTGACCTTTCAATTTCAACGTACCTCTCTATAACATGACCCAGCTGTAATTTCAGTGGTCGCATTGGTTTGATTTTTGGTTTGCTTGTAGGGCGCTGGCACCCGAATTCAGTGACCCAGAAAATTTGGCACTGCTGTGAATAGTTTAGTCGTAAAGTGAAGATTCACGGGTAAAAAGCCCCAAACTTCTAGATAGGTTCTTTTTCAGCTTTCAGCAGCCCTGGGCGAGTTCTTTAGAGAAATGTGACTCTTTTTCACGGTACTCTTGTCTATGTCCAGCTTACCAACGAGATGAGGATGGTCATTGTCATTTTCTGAGCTGCGAACGGGCAGGAAGGCTAGAAAATGTCGGATTTTGACCATTTGTGCTGACCTTTCAATTTCAACGTACCTCCCAATAACATGACCCAGCTGTAATGTCTGCGGTCAAATTGGTTTAATTTTTGGTTTGCTTGTAGGGCGCTAGCACCCACAATCAGTGACCCTAAAAATTTGGCACTGCTGTGAATAGTTTAGTCGCAAAGTGAATATTCACGGGTAAAAAGCCCCTAACTTCTAGATAGGTTCTTTTTCAACTTTCAGCAGCCCTGGGCGAGTTCTTTAGAGAAATGTGGCTCTTTTTCATGGTGCTCTTGTCTATGTTCAGCTACACAACGAGATGAGGATGGTCATTGTCATTTTCTGAGCTGCGAACGGGCAGAAAGGTGAGAAAATGTCGGATTTTGACCATTTGTGCTGACCTTTCAATTTCAACGTACCTCTCTATAACATGACCCAGCTGTAATTTCAATGGTCGCATTGGTTTGATTTTTGGTTTGCTTGTAGGGCGCTGCCATCCACAATCAGTGACCCTAAAAATTTGGCACTGCTGTGAATAGTTTAGTCGCAAAGTGAAGATTCACGGGTAAAAAGCCCCTAACTTCTAGATAGGTTCTTTTTCAGCTTTCAGCAGCCCGGGGCGAGTTCTTAACCTTTTGAGCACGACGCTACCTGAATGCCGCCCCACGTCAACACCTGCAAAAATCGCGTTTTTCCTATGAAAGTAGTAGCTGTTCAAGGATCGATAACTTTACCTTCCTTTGGACGAATTCCACGATCTTGAGCTTCCTGCAAAGGTCTTGAGGCGAGGAACAAAATAGTTCCAAGCTCAGCTCGGAGCGACACCAAAAGCCCATGCTACAGTCTGGCAAACTTCACGCACGCGCTCGACAGACTTGAGCACGGCCAGGAGATCAAATCCTCAGCTGCCATTTCACTCTCCTTGCTCGTATCGAGCTCAAATTTTTTTTGAGGACAGATCCGCTGCCATCATTTGAATCTAGTTTCCATGGCAGCAGATAGCGCGAAAATGATCGAAAATGGAGAATACGCGTTCTGCAGAGTTCGCAAAAAAATCGATTTGAATTTGCCGTGTCGAGTCGCATATCTCAACAACCCGGGGTCGTATCGCTTCGGCGATTGTTTCTATCGCAAGCTGAGAGTTTTCTCTTGCAGATACATATTTCGATCGTGAGAATCGGCCAAGAATTGACCGAGTTACGATAGTTTGAACTCAAGCGGTTCATGCAAATCGCGTTTGTACGCTATGTACACTCACGACGTAATAATACGTCATGCGTGGGTGCAGTGACACTGTACGTGACGTATTAATACGTCATGCGTGCTCAAAGGGTTAAGAGAAATGTGGGTCTTTTTCTTGGTGCTTTTGTCTATGTCCATCTGCACAACGAGATGAGGATGGTCATTGTCATTTTCTGAGCTGCGAACGGGCAGGAAGGTGAGAAAATGTCGGATTTTGACCATTTGTGCTGACCTTTCAATTTCAACGTACCTCTCTATAACATGACCCAGCTGTAATTTCAGTGGTCGCATTGGTTTGATTTTTGGTTTGCTTGTAGGGCGCTGGCACCCGAATTCAGTGACCCAGAAAATTTGGCACTGCTGTGAATAGTTTAGTCGCAAAGTGAAGATTCACGGGTAAAAACTCCAAACTTCTAGATAGGTTCATTTTCAGCTTTCAGCAGCCCTGGGTGAGTTCTTTAGAGAAATGTGGCTGTTTTTCATGGTGCTATTTTCTTTGTCCAGCTACACAACGAGATGAGGATGGTCATTGTCATTTTCCAAGCTGCGAACGGGCAGAAAGGTGAGAAAATGTCGGATTTTGACCATTTGTGCTGACCTTTCCATTTCAACGTACCTCTCTATAACATGACCCAGCTGTAATGTCAGCGGTCGCATTGGTTTGATTTTTGGTTTGCTTGTAGGGCGCTGGCACCCGCATTCATTCACTCAGAAAGTTTGGCAGTGCTGTGAATAGTTTAGTCGCAAAGTGAAGATTCACGGGTAAAAAGCCCCAAACTTCTAGATAGGTTCTTTTTCAGCTTTCAGCAGCCCTGGTCGAGTTTTTTGGCGAAATGTGGCTGTTTTTCATGGTGCTATTTTCTATGTCCAGCTACACAACGAGATGAGGATGGTCATTGTCATTTTCTGAGCTGCGAGCGGGCAGAAAGGTGAGAAAATGTCGGATTTTGACCATTTGTGCTGACCTTTTAATTTCAACGTACCTCTCTCTAACATGAACCAGCTGTAATGTCAGTGGTGGCATTGGTTTCATTTTTGGTTTGCTTGTAGGGCGCTGGCACCCACAATCAGTGACCCTAAAAATTTGGCACTGCTGTGAATAGTTTAGTCGCAAAGTGAAGATTCACCGGTAAAAAGCCCCAAACTTCTAGATAGGTTCTTTTTCAACTTTCAGCAGCCCTGGGCGTGTTCTTTAGAGAAATGTGGCTCTTTTTCATTGTGCTATTTTCTATGTCCAGGTACACAACGAGATGAGGATGGTCATTGTCATTTTCTGAGCTGCGCACGGGCAGAAAGGTGAGAAAATGTCGGATTTTGACCATTTGTGCTGACCTTTCAATTTCAACGTACCTCTCTATAACATGAACCAGCTGTAATGTCAGTGGTCGCATTGATTTGATTTTTGGTTTGCTTTTAGGGCGCTGGCACCCGCATTCATTGACCCAGAAAATTTGGCACTGCTGTGAATAGTTTAGTCGCAAAGTGAATATTCACAGGTAAAAAGCCTCAAACTTCTAGACAGGTTCTTTTTCAGCTTTCAGCAGCCCTGGGTGAGTTCTTTAGAGAAATTTGGCTCTTTTTATTGGTGCTCTTGTCTATGTCCAGCTAAGCAACGAGATGAGGATGGTGATTGTCATTTTCTAAGCTGCGAACGGGCAGAAAGGTGAGAAAGAGTCGGATTTTGACCATTTGTGCTGACCTTTCAATTTCAACGTACCTCTCTATAACATGACCCAGCTGTAATGTCAGCAGTCGCATTGGTTTCATTTTTGGTTTGCTTGTAGGGCGCTGGCACCCACAATCAGTGACCCTAAAAATTTGGCACTGCTGTGAATAGTTTAGTCGCAAAGTGAATATTCACGGGTAAAAAGCCCCAAACTTCTAGATAGGTTCTTTCTCAGCTTTCAGCAGCCCAGGGCGAATTCTTTAGAGAAATGTGGGTATTTTTATTGGTGCTCTTGTCTATGTCCAGCTACACAACGAGATGAGGATGGTCATTGTCATTTTCTGAGCTGCGAACGGGCAGAAAGGTGAGAAAATGTCGGATTTTGACCATTTGTGCTGACCTTTTAATTTCAACGTACCTCTCTATAACATGAACCAGCTGTTATGTCAGTGGTCGCATTGATTTGATTTTTGGTTTGCTTTTAGGGCGCTGGCACCCGCATTCATTGACTCAGAAAATTTGGCACTGCTGTGAATAGTTTAGTCGCAAAGTGAAGATTCACGGGTAAAAAGCCCCAAACTTCTGGTTAGGTTCTTTTTCAGCTTTCAGCAGCCCTGGGCGAGTTCTTTAGAGAAATGTGACTCTTTTTCATGGTGCTCTTGTCTATGTCCAGCTAACCAACGAAATGAGGATGGTCATTGTCATTTTCTAAGCTGCGAACGGGCAGAAAGGTGAGAAGCCGTCGGATTTTGACCATTTGTGCTGACCTTTCAATTTCAACGTACCTCTCTATAACATGACCCAGCTGTAATGTCAGCGGTCGCATTGGTTTGATTTTTAGTTTGCTTGTAGGGCGCTGGCACCCACAATCAGTGACCCTAAAAATTTGGCACTGCTGTGAATAGTTTAGTCGCAAAGTGAAGATTCACGGGTAAAAAGCCCCAAACTTCTAGATAGGTTCTTTTTCAGCTTTCAGCAGCCCTGGGCGAGTTCTTTAGAGAAATGTGGGTCTCTTTCTTGCAGCTCTTGTCTATGTCCAGCTAACCAACGAGATGAGGATGGTCATTGTCATTTTCTGAGCTGCGAATTGGCAGAAAGGGGAGAAACCGTCGGATTTTGACCATTTCTGCTGACCTTTCAATTTCAACGTACCTCTCTATGACATGACCCAGCTGTAATGTCAGCGGTCGCATGGGTTTCGTTTTTGGTTTGCTTGTAGGGCGCTGTCACCCACAATCAGTGACCCTAAAAATTTGGCACTGCTGTGAATAGTTTAGTCGCAAAGTGAAGATTCACGGGTAAAAAGCCCCAAACTTCTAGATAGGTTCTTTTTCAGCTTTCAGCAGCCCTGGGTGAGTTCTTTAGAGAAATGTGGCTGTTTTTCATGGTGCTATTTTCTATGTCCAGCTACACAACGAGATGAGGATGGTCATTGTCATTTTCTGAGCTGCGAACGGGCAGAAAGGTGAGAAAATGTCGGATTTTGACCATTTGTGCTGACCTTTCAATTTCAATGACCTCTCTATAACATGACCCAGCTGTAATTTCAGTGGTCGCATTGGTTTCATTTTTGGTTTGCTTTTAGGGCGCTGGCACCCGCATTCAGTGACCCAGAAATTTTGGCACTGCTGTGAATAGTTTAGTCGCAAAGTGAAGATTCACGGGTAAAAAGCCCCAAACTTCTAGATAGGTTCTTTTTCAGCTATCAGCGGCGCTGGGCGAGTTCTTTAGGGAAATGTGACTCTTTTTCATGGTGCTATTTTCTATGTCCAGCTACACAACGAGATGAGGATGGTCATTGTCATTTTCTAAGCTGCGAATGGGCAGAAAGGTGAGAAAATGTCGGATTTTGACCATTTGTGCTGACCTTTCAATTTCAACGTACCTCTCTATAACATGACCCAGCTGTAATGTCAGCGGTCGCATTGGTTTCATTTTTGGTTTGCTTGTAGGGCGCTGGCACCCACAATCAGTGACCCTAAAAATTTTGCACTGCTGTGAATAGTTTAGTCGCAAAGTGAAGATTCACGGGTAAAAAGCCCAAAGCTTCTAGATAGGTTCTTTTTCAGCTTTCAGCAGCCCTGGGTGAGTTCTTTAGAGAAATGTGGCTGTTTTTCATGGTGCATTTTTCTATGTCCAGCTACACAACGAGATGAGGATGGTCATTGTCATTTTCTAAGCTGCGAACGGGCAGAAAGGTGAGAAAATGTCGGATTTTGACCATTTGTGCTCACCTTTCAATTTCAACGTACCTCTCCATAACATGACCCAGCTGTAATTTCAGTGGTCGCATTGGTTTCATTTTTGGTTTGCTTTTAGGGCGCTGGCACCCGCATTCATTGACCCTAAAAATTTGGCACTGCTGTGAATAGTTTAGTCGCAAAATGAAGATTCACGGGTAAAAAGCCCCAAACTTCTAGATAGGTTCTTTTTCAGCTTTCAGCAGCCCAGGGCGAGTTCTTTAGAGAAATGTGGGTCTTTTTCTTGGTGCTCTTGCCTATGTCCAGCTACAGAACGAGATGAGGATGGTCATTGTCATTTTCTGAGCTGCGAACGGGCAGAAAGGTGGGAAAACGTCGGATTTTGACCATTTGTGCTGACCTTTTAATTTCAACGTACCTCTCTATAACATGAACCAGGTGTTATGTCAGTGGTCGCATGGATTAGATTTTTGGTTTGCTTTTAGGGCGCTGGCACCCGCATTCATTGACTCAGAAAATTTGGCACTGCTGTGAATAGTTTAGCCGCAAAGGGAAGATTCACGGGTAAAAAGCCCCAAACTTCTAGATAGGTTCTTTTTCAGCTTTCAGCAGCCCTGGGCGAGTTCTTTAGAGAAATGTGACTCTTTTTCATGGTGCTCTTGTCTATGTCCAGCTAACCAACGAGATGAGGAGGGTCATTGTCATTTTCTAAGCTGCGAACGGGCAGAAAGGTGAGAAACCGTCGGATTTTGACCATTTGTGCTGACCTTTCAATTTCAACGTACCTCTCTATAACATGACCCAGCTGTAATGTCAGCGGTCGCATTGGTTTGATTTTTGGTTTGCTTGTAGGGCGCTGGCACCCACAATCATTGACCCTAAAAATTTGGCACTGCTGTGAATAGTTTAGTCGCAAAGTGAAGATTCACGGGTAAAAAGCCCCAAACTTCTAGATAGGTTCTTTTTCAGCTTTCAGCAGCCCTGGGCGAGTTCTTTAGATAAATGTGGGTCTCTTTCTCAGTGATCTTGTCTATGTCCAGCTAACCAACGAGATGAGGATGGTCATTGTCATTTTCTGAGCTGCGAATTGGCAGAAAGGTGAGAAACCGTCGGATTTTGACCATTTGTGCTGACCTTTCAATTTCAACGTACCTCTCTATAACATGACCCAGCTGTAATGTCAGCGGTCGCATTGGTTTCGTTTTTGGTTTGCTTGTAGGGCGTTGTCACCCACAATCAGTGACCCTAAAAATCTGGCACTGCTGTGAATAGTTTAGTCGCAAAGTGAAGATTCACGGGTAAAAAGCCCCAAACTTCTAGATAGGTTCTTTTTCAGCTTTCAGCAGCCCTGGGCGAGTTCTTTAGAGAAATGTGGCTCTTTTTCATGGTGCTCTTGTCTATGTCCAGCTACACAACGAGATGAGGATGGTCATTGTCATTTTCTGAGCTGCGAACGGGCAGAAAGGTGAGAAAATGTCGGATTTTGACCATTTGTCCTGACCTTTCAATTTCAACGTACCTCTCTATAACATGACCCAGCTGTAATTTCAGTGGTCGCATTGGTTTCATTTTTGGTTTGCTTTTAGGGCGCTGGCACCCGCATTAAGTGACCCAGAAAATTTGGCACTGCTGTGAATAGTTTAGTCGCAAAGTGAAGATTAACGGGTTAAAAGCCCCAAACTTCTAGATAGGTTCTTTTTCAGCTTTCAGAGGCGCTGGGCGAGTTCTTTAAAGAAATGTGACTCTTTTTCATGGTGCTCTTGTCCATGTCCAGCTAACCAACGAGATGCGGATGGTCATTGTCATTTTCTAAGCTGCGAACGGGCAGAAAGGTGAGAAAATGTCGGATTTTGACCATTTGTGCTGACCTTTCAATTTCAACGTACCTCTCTATAACATGACCCAGCTGTAATTTCAGTGGTCGCATTGGTTTCATTTTTGGTTTGCTTGTAGGGCGCTGGCCCCCGCATTCAGTGACCCAGAAAATTTGGCACTGCTGTGAATAGTTTAGTCGCAAAGTGAAGATTCACGGGTAAAAAGCCCCAAACTTCTAGACAGGTTCTTATTCAGGTTTCAGCAGCCCTGGGCGAGTTCTTTAGAGAAATGTGACTCTTTTTCATGGTGCTCTTGTCTATGTCCAGCTAACCAACGAGATGAGGATGGACATTGTCATTTTCTAAGCTGCGAACGGGCAGAAAGGTGAGAAAATGTCAGATTTTGACCATTTGTGCTGACCTTTCAATTTCAACGTACCTCTCTATAACATGACCCAGCTGTAATGTCAGCGGTCGCATTGGTTTGATTTTTGGTTTGCTTGTAGGGCGCTGGCACCCACAATCAGTGACCCTAAACATTTGGCACTGCTGTGAATAGTTTAGTCGCAAAGTGAAGATTCACGGGTAAAAAGCCCCAAACTTCTAGATAGGTTCTTTGTCAGCTTTCAGCAGCCCTGGGTGAGTTCTTTAGAGAAATGTGGCTGTTTTTAATGGTGCTATTTTCTATGTCCAGCTACATAACGAGATGAGGATGGTCATTGTCATTTTCTGAGCTGCGAACGGGCAGAAAGGTGAGAAAATGTCAGATTTTAACCATTTGTGCTGACCTTTCAATTTCAACGTACCTCTCTATGACATGACCCAGCTGTAATGTCAGCGGTCGCATTGGTTTGATTTTTGGTTTGCTTGTAGGGCGCTGGCACCCACAATCAATGACCCTAAAAATTTGGCACTGCTGTGAATAGTTTAGTCGCAAAGTGAAGATTCACGGGAAAAAGCCCCAAACTTCTAGATAGGTTCTTTTTCAGCTTTCAGCAGCCCAGGGCGAGTTCTTTAGAGAAATGTGGGTCTTTTTCTTGGTGCTCTTGTCTATGTCCAGCTACACAACGAGATGAGGATGGTCATTGTTATTTTCTGAGCTGCGAACAGGCAGAAAGGTGAGAAAATGTCGGATTTTGACCATTTGTGCTGACCTTTTAATTTCAACGTACCTCTCTATAACATGAACCAGCTGTAATGTCAGTGGTCGCATTGATTTGATTTTTTGTTTGCTTTTAGGGCGCTGGCACCCGCATTCATTGACTCAGAAAATTTGGCACTGCTGTAAATAGTTTAGTCGCAAAGTGAAGATTCACGGGTAAAAAGCCCCAAACTTCTAGATAGGTTCTTTTTCAGCTTTCAGCAGCCCTGGGCGAGTTCTTTAGAGAAATGTGACTCTTTTTCATGGTGCTCTTGTCTATGTCCAGCTAACCAACGAGATGAGGATGGTCATTGTCATTTTCTGAGCTGCGAACGGGCAGAAAGGTGAGAAAATGTCGAATTTTGACCATTTGTGCTGACCTTTCAATTTCAACGTACCTCTCTATAACATGACCCAGCTGTAATTTCAGTGGTCGCATTGGTTTGATTTTTGGTTTGCTTGTAGGGCGCTGGCACCCACAATCAGTGACCCTAAACATTTGGCACTGCTGTGAATAGTTGAGTCGCAAAGTGAAGATTCACGGGTAAAAAGCCCCAAACTTCTAGGTAGGTTCTTTGTCAGCTTTCAGCAGCCCTGGGTGAGTTCTTTAGAGAAATGTGGCTGTTTTTCATGGTGCTATTTTCTATGTCCAGCTACATAACGAGATGAGGATGGTCATTGTCATTTTCTGAGCTGCGAACGGGCAGAAAGGTGAGAAAATGTCAGATTTTGACCATTTGTGCTGACCTTTCAATTTCAACGTACCTCTCTATGACATGACCCAGCTGTAATGTCAGCGGTCGCATTGGTTTGATTTTTGGTTTGCTTGTAGGGCGCTGGCACCCACAATCAATGACCCTAAAAATTTGGCACTGCTGTGAATAGTTTAGTCGCAAAGTGAAGATTCACGGGAAAAAGCCCCAAACTTCTAGATAGGTTCTTTTTCAGCTTTCAGCAGCCCTGGGCGAGTTCTTTAGAGAAATGTTGGTCTTTTTCTTGGTGCTCTTGTCTATGTCCGGCTACACAACGAGATGAGGATGGTCATTGTTATTTTCTGAGCTGCGAACGGGCAGAAAGGTGAGAAAATGTCGGATTTTGACCATTTGTGCTGACCTTTTAATTTCAACGTACCTCTCTATAACATGAACCAGCTGTAATGTCAGTGGTCGCATTGATTTGATTTTTTGTTTGCTTTTAGGGCGCTGGCATCCGCATTCATTGACTCAGAAAATTTGGCACTGCTGTAAATAGTTTAGTCGCAAAGTGAAGATTCACGGGTAAAAAGCCCCAAACTTCTAGATAGGTTCTTTTTCAGCTTTCAGCAGCCCTGGGCGAGATCTTTAGAGAAATGTGACTCTTTTTCATGGTGCTCTTGTCTATGTCCAGCTAACCAACGAGATGAGGATGGTCATTGTCATTTTCTAAGCTGCGAACGGGCAGAAAGGTGAGAAAATGTCAGATTTTGACAATTTGTGCTGACCTTTCAATTTCAACGTACCTCTCTATAACATGACCCAGCTGTAATGTCAGCGGTTGCATTGGTTTGATTTTTGGTTTGCTTGTAGGGCGCTGGCACCCACAATCATTGACCCTAAAAATTTGGCAGTGCTGTGAATAGTTTAGTCGCAAAGTGAAGATTCACGGGTAAAAAGCCCCAAACTTCTAGATAGGTTCTTTTTCAGCTTTCAGCAGCCCTGGGCGAGTTCTTTAGATAAATGTGGGTCTCTTTCTCAGTGATCTTGTCTATGTCCAGCTAACCAACGAGATGAGGATGGTCATTGTCATTTTCTGAGCTGCGAATTGGCAGAAAGGTGAGAAACCGTCGGATTTTGACCATTTGTGCTGACCTTTCAATTTCAACGTACCTCTCTATAACATGACCCAGCTGTAATGTCAGCGGTCGCATTGGTTTCGTTTTTGGTTTGCTTGTAGGGCGTTGTCACCCACAATCAGTGACCCTAAAAATCTGGCACTGCTGTGAATAGTTTAGTCGCAAAGTGAAGATTCACGGGTAAAAAGCCCCAAACTTCTAGATAGGTTCTTTTTCAGCTTTCAGCAGCCCTGGGCGAGTTCTTTAGAGAAATGTGGCTCTTTTTCATGGTGCTCTTGTCTATGTCCAGCTACACAACGAGATGAGGATGGTCATTGTCATTTTCTGAGCTGCGAACGGGCAGAAAGGTGAGAAAATGTCGGATTTTGACCATTTGTCCTGACCTTTCAATTTCAACGTACCTCTCTATAACATGACCCAGCTGTAATTTCAGTGGTCGCATTGGTTTCATTTTTGGTTTGCTTTTAGGGCGCTGGCACCCGCATTAAGTGACCCAGAAAATTTGGCACTGCTGTGAATAGTTTAGTCGCAAAGTGAAGATTCACGGGTTAAAAGCCCCAAACTTCTAGATAGGTTCTTTTTCAGCTTTCAGCGGCGCTGGGCGAGTTCTTTAAAGAAATGTGACTCTTTTTCATGGTGCTCTTGTCCATGTCCAGCTAACCAACGAGATGCGGATGGTCATTGTCATTTTCTAAGCTGCGAACGGGCAGAAAGGTGAGAAAATGTCGGATTTTGACCATTTGTGCTGACTTTTCAATTTCAACGTACCTCTCTATAACATGACCCAGCTGTAATTTCAGTGGTCGCATTGGTTTCATTTTTGGTTTGCTTGTAGGGCGCTGGCCCCCGCATTCAGTGACCCAGAAAATTTGGCACTGCTGTGAATAGTTTAGTCGCAAAGTGAAGATTCACGGGTAAAAAGCCCCAAACTTCTAGACAGGTTCTTATTCAGGTTTCAGCAGCCCTGGGCGAGTTCTTTAGAGAAATGTGACTCTTTTTCATGGTGCTCTTGTCTATGTCCAGCTAACCAACGAGATGAGGATGGACATTGTCATTTTCTAAGCTGCGAACGGGCAGAAAGGTGAGAAAATGTCAGATTTTGACCATTTGTGCTGACCTTTCAATTTCAACGTACCTCTCTATAACATGACCCAGCTGTAATGTCAGCGGTCGCATTGGTTTGATTTTTGGTTTGCTTGTAGGGCGCTGGCACCCACAATCAGTGACCCTAAACATTTGGCACTGCTGTGAATAGTTTAGTCGCAAAGTGAAGATTCACGGGTAAAAAGCCCCAAACTTCTAGATAGGTTCTTTGTCAGCTTTCAGCAGCCCTGGGTGAGTTCTTTAGAGAAATGTGGCTGTTTTTAATGGTGCTATTTTCTATGTCCAGCTACATAACGAGATGAGGATGGTCATTGTCATTTTCTGAGCTGCGAACGGGCAGAAAGGTGAGAAAATGTCAGATTTTAACCATTTGTGCTGACCTTTCAATTTCAACGTACCTCTCTATGACATGACCCAGCTGTAATGTCAGCGGTCGCATTGGTTTGATTTTTGGTTTGCTTGTAGGGCGCTGGCACCCACAATCAATGACCCTAAAAATTTGGCACTGCTGTGAATAGTTTAGTCGCAAAGTGAAGATTCACGGGAAAAAGCCCCAAACTTCTAGATAGGTTCTTTTTCAGCTTTCAGCAGCCCAGGGCGAGTTCTTTAGAGAAATGTGGGTCTTTTTCTTGGTGCTCTTGTCTATGTCCAGCTACACAACGAGATGAGGATGGTCATTGTTATTTTCTGAGCTGCGAACAGGCAGAAAGGTGAGAAAATGTCGGATTTTGACCATTTGTGCTGACCTTTTAATTTCAACGTACCTCTCTATAACATGAACCAGCTGTAATGTCAGTGGTCGCATTGATTTGATTTTTTGTTTGCTTTTAGGGCGCTGGCACCCGCATTCATTGACTCAGAAAATTTGGCACTGCTGTAAATAGTTTAGTCGCAAAGTGAAGATTCACGGGTAAAAAGCCCCAAACTTCTAGATAGGTTCTTTTTCAGCTTTCAGCAGCCCTGGGCGAGTTCTTTAGAGAAATGTGACTCTTTTTCATGGTGCTCTTGTCTATGTCCAGCTAACCAACGAGATGAGGATGGTCATTGTCATTTTCTGAGCTGCGAACGGGCAGAAAGGTGAGAAAATGTCGAATTTTGACCATTTGTGCTGACCTTTCAATTTCAACGTACCTCTCTATAACATGACCCAGCTGTAATTTCAGTGGTCGCATTGGTTTGATTTTTGGTTTGCTTGTAGGGCGCTGGCACCCACAATCAGTGACCCTAAACATTTGGCACTGCTGTGAATAGTTGAGTCGCAAAGTGAAGATTCACGGGTAAAAAGCCCCAAACTTCTAGGTAGGTTCTTTGTCAGCTTTCAGCAGCCCTGGGTGAGTTCTTTAGAGAAATGTGGCTGTTTTTCATGGTGCTATTTTCTATGTCCAGCTACATAACGAGATGAGGATGGTCATTGTCATTTTCTGAGCTGCGAACGGGCAGAAAGGTGAGAAAATGTCAGATTTTGACCATTTGTGCTGACCTTTCAATTTCAACGTACCTCTCTATGACATGACCCAGCTGTAATGTCAGCGGTCGCATTGGTTTGATTTTTGGTTTGCTTGTAGGGCGCTGGCACCCACAATCAATGACCCTAAAAATTTGGCACTGCTGTGAATAGTTTAGTCGCAAAGTGAAGATTCATGGGAAAAAGCCCCAAACTTCTAGATAGGTTCTTTTTCAGCTTTCAGCAGCCCTGGGCGAGTTCTTTAGAGAAATGTTGGTCTTTTTCTTGGTGCTCTTGTCTATGTCCGGCTACACAACGAGATGAGGATGGTCATTGTTATTTTCTGAGCTGCGAACGGGCAGAAAGGTGAGAAAATGTCGGATTTTGACCATTTGTGCTGACCTTTTAATTTCAACGTACCTCTCTATAACATGAACCAGCTGTAATGTCAGTGGTCGCATTGATTTGATTTTTTGTTTGCTTTTAGGGCGCTGGCATCCGCATTCATTGACTCAGAAAATTTGGCACTGCTGTAAATAGTTTAGTCGCAAAGTGAAGATTCACGGGTAAAAAGCCCCAAACTTCTAGATAGGTTCTTTTTCAGCTTTCAGCAGCCCTGGGCGAGATCTTTAGAGAAATGTGACTCTTTTTCATGGTGCTCTTGTCTATGTCCAGCTAACCAACGAGATGAGGATGGTCATTGTCATTTTCTAAGCTGCGAACGGGCAGAAAGGTGAGAAAATGTCAGATTTTGACAATTTGTGCTGACCTTTCAATTTCAACGTACCTCTCTATAACATGACCCAGCTGTAATGTCAGCGGTCGCATTGGTTTGATTTTTGGTTTGCTTGTAGGGCGCTGGCACCCACAATCAGTGACCCTAAACATTTGGCACTGCTGTGAATAGTTTAGTCGCAAAGTGAAGATTCACGGGTAAAAAGCCCCAAACTTCTAGATAGGTTCTTTGTCAGCTTTCAGCAGCCCTGGGTGAGTTCTTTAGAGAAATGTGGCTGTTTTTCATGGTGCTATTTTCTATGTCCAGCTACATAACGAGATGAGGATGGTCATTGTCATTTTCTGAGCTGCGAACGGGCAGAAAGGTGAGAAAATGTCAGATTTTGACCATTTGTGCTGACCTTTCAATTTCAACGTACCTCTCTATGACATGACCCAGCTGTAATGTCAGCGGTCGCATTGGTTTGATTTTTGGTTTGCTTGTAGGGCGCTGGCACCCACAATCAATGACCCTAAAAATTTGGCACTGCTGTGAATAGTTTAGTCGCAAAGTGAAGATTCACGGGTAAAAAGCCCCAAACTTCTAGATAGGTTCTTTTTCAGCTTTCAGCAGCCCTGGGTGAATTCTTTAGAGAAATGTGGCTCTTTTTCATGGTGATTTTTTCTATGTCCAGCTACACAACGAGATGAGGTTGGTCATTGTCATTTTCTGAGCTGCGAACGGGCAGAAAGGTGAGAAAATGTCGGATTTTGACCATTTGTGCTGACCTTTCAATTTCAACGTACCTCTCTATAACATGACCCAGCTGTAATGTCAGCGGTCGCATTGGTTTGATTTTTGGTTTGCTTGTAGGGCGCTGGCACCCACAATCAGTGACCCTAAAAATTTGGCACTGCTGTGAATAGTTTAGTCGCAAAGTGAAGATTCACGGGTAAAAAGCCCCAAACTTCTAGATAGGTTCTTTTTCAGCTTTCAGCAGCCCAGGGCGAATTCTTTAGAGAAATGTGGGTCTTTTTCTTGGCGCTCCTGTCTATGTCCAGCTACACAACGAGATGAGGATGGTCATTGTCATTTTCTGAGCTGCGAACGGGCAGAAAGGTGAGAAAATGTCGGATTTTGAACATTTGTGCTGACCTTTCAATTTCAACGTACCTCTCTATAACATGACCCAGCTATAATGTGAGCGGTCGCATTGGTTTCATTTTTGGTTTGCTTGTAGGGCGCTGGCACCGACAATCTGTGACCCTAACAATTTGGCACTGCTGTGAATAGTTTAGTCGCAAAGTGAAGATTCACGGGTAAAAAGCCCCAAACTTCTAGATAGGTTCTTTTTCAGCTTTCAGCAGCCCTGGGTGAATTCTTTAGAGAAATGTGGCTCTTTTTCATGGTGCTTTTTTCTATGTCCAGCTACACAACGAGATGAGGATGGTCATTGTCATTTTCTGAGCTGCGAACGGGCAGAAAGGTGAGAAAATGTCGGATTTTGACCATTTGTGCTGACCTTTCAATTTCAACGTACCTCTCTATAACATGACCCAGCTGTAATGTCAGCGGTCGCATTGGTTTGATTTTTGGTTTGCTTGTAGGGCGCTGGCACCCACAATCAGTGACCCTAAACATTCGGCACTGCTGTGAATAGTTTAGTCGCAAAGTGAAGATTCACGGGTAAAAAGCCCCAAACTTCTAGATAGGTTCTTTGTCAGCTTTCAGCAGCCCTGGGTGAATTCTTTAGAGAAATGTGGCTCTTTTTCATGGTGCTTTTTTCTATGTCCAGCTACACAACGAGATGAGGATGGTCAATGTCATTTTCTGAGCTGCGAACGGGCAGAAAGGTGAGAAAATGTCGGATTTTGACCATTTGTGCTGACCTTTCAATTTCAACGTACCTCTCTATGACATGACCCAGCTGTAATGTCAGCGGTCGCATTGGTTTGATTTTTGGTTTGCTTGTAAGGCGCTGGCACTCACAATCAATGACCCTAAAAATTTGGCACTGCTGTGAATAGTTTAGTCGCAAAGTGAAGATTCACGGGAAAAAGCCCCAAACTTCTAGATAGGTTCTTTTTCAGCTTTCAGCAGCCCAGGGCGAGTTCTTTAGAGAAATGTGGGTCTTTTTCTTGGTGCTCTTGTCTATGTCAAGCTACACAACGAGATGAGGATGGTCATTGTTATTTTCTGAGCTGCGAACGGGCAGAAAGGTGAGAAAATGTCGGATTTTGACCATTTGTGCTGACCTTTTAATTTCAACGTACCTCTCTATAACATGAACCAGCTGTAATGTCAGTGGTCGCATTGATTTGATTTTTTGTTTGCTTTTAGGGCGCTGGCACCCGCATTCATTGACTCAGAAAATTTGGCACTGCTGTAAATAGTTAGTCGCAAAGTGAAGATTCACGGGTAAAAAGCCCCAAACTTCTAGATAGGTTCTTTTTCAGCTTTCAGCAGCCCTGGGCGAGTTCTTTAGAGAAATGTGACTCTTTTTCATGGTGCTCTTGTCTATGTCCAGCTAACCAACGAGATGAGGATGGTCATTGTCATTTTCTAAGCTGCGAACGGGCAGAAAGGTGAGAAAATGTCAGATTTTGACCATTTGTGCTGACCTTTCAATTTCAACGTACCTCTCTATAACATGACCCAGCTGTAATGTCAGCGGTCGCATTGGTTTCATTTTTGGTTTGCTTGTAGGGCGCTGGCACCCACAATCAGTGACTCTAAAAATTTGGCACTGCTGTGAATAGTTTAGTCGCAAAGTGAAGATTCACGGGTAAAAAGCCCCAAACTTCTAGATAGGTTCTTTTTCAGCTTTCAGCAGCCGTGGGCGAGTTCTTTAGAGAAATGTGGGTCTTTTTCTTGGCGCTCTTGTCTCTGTCCAGCTACACAACGAGATGAGGATGGTCATTGTCATTTTCTGAGCTGCGAACGGGCAGAAAGGTGAGAAAATGTCGGATTTTGAACATTTGTGCTGACCTTTCAATTTCAACGTACCTCTCTATAACATGACCCAGCTATAATGTCAGCGGTCGCATTGGTTTCATTTTTGGTTTGCTTGTAGGGCGCTGTCACCGACAATCAGTGACCCTAATAATTTGGCACTGCTGTGAATAGTTTAGTCGCAAAGTGAAGATTCACGGGTAAAAAGCCCCAAACTTCTAGATAGGTTCTTTTTCAGCTTAAAGCAGCCCTGGGTGAATTCTTTAGAGAAATGTGGCTCTTTTTCATGGTGCTTTTTTCTATGTCCAGCTACACAACGAGATGAGGATGGTCATTGTCATTTTCTGAGCTGCGAACGGGCAGAAAGGTGAGAAAATGTCGGATTCTGACCATTTGTGCTGACCTTTCAATTTCAACGTACCTCTCTATAACATGACCCAGCTGTAATTTCAGTGGTCGCATTGGTTTCATTTTTGGTTTCCTTTTAGGGCGCTGGCACCCGCATTCAGTGACCCAGAAAATTTTGCACTGCTGTGAATTGTTTAGTCGCAAAGTAAAAGATGCACGGGTAAAAAACCCCAAACTTCTAGACAGGTTCTTTTTCAGCTTTCAGCAGCCCTGGGCGAGTTCTTTAGAGAAATGTGACTCTTTTACATGGTGCTCTTGTCTATATCCAGCTAACCAACGAGATGGGGATGGTCATTGTCATTTTCTAAGCTGCGAACGGGCAGAAAGGTGAGAAAATGTCGGATTTTGACCATTTGTGCTGACCTTTCAATTTCAACGTACCTCTCTATAACATGACCCAGCTGTAATGTCTCAGCGGTCGCATTGGTTTCATTTTTGGTTTGCTTGTAGAGCGCTGGCACCCACAATCAGTGACCCTAAAATTTGGCACTGCTGTGAATAGGGCTTGCCACTGTGGAGATTGTGGGCGTTGGTTTCGCAGCAAGGGTGGTCTAGCTGTTCACCGCTGTTCCGCACCTCTGCCTCAGCCTCCCGAGCCCCGGCAAGTCTATGTGCAGGATGCCTGCTGTGCTGCGCACTGTGCTGTGTGTGCCCGCTGCTTTCGGTCTGTGCAGACTCTGATTGCAGACTCTGATTGCAGACTCTGATTGCAGACTCTAATTGCAGACTCTGATTGCAGACTCTAATTGCAGACTCTGATTGCAGACTCTAATTGCAGACTCTGATTGCAGACTCTGATTGCAGACTCTGATTGCAGACTCTGATTGCAGACTCTAATTGCAGACTCTGATTGCAGACTCTGATTGCAGACTCTGATTGCAGACTCTGATTGCAGACTCTAATTGCAGACTCTGATTGCAGACTCTGATTGCAGACTCTAATTGCAGACTCTAATTGCAGACTCTGATTGCAGACTCTGATTGCAGACTCTGATTGCATGGTCTTGTACACAAACATGGTGATCTGTACAGTACTGGCGGGCGCCGAAGAACGAACAAGCTAGAATTTCACCAAGCACAGCTTACCAATGTATGCAGGTGACTTAACTGTGCATAGACTGTAGTACATGAAAATAAGAACAATCTAGGCTACGAGGCTGACCTCCCAGTTCTTCAGCAACCGGCAGTACTCCATGGAAGGTCCTGTAGATGTGAAATTTTAGGACATCCATTGCATCACGTCTTTCCCCCTTCACAAGTCGCAAACCAGCACCTTGCATTACTGGCAAAGTAATACAATCGTCTGTATTGCCATTGCTTGCAACAGCCCTGTAGATCGCAGAGAAGGCGAATGTTTGCAGAGTGCGATTTCTCGTCATACAAACTAAAAGAGATGGGCCATGAAGGGAGACGGTTTCTGGGAGAGAGTTTTGCTTCACTTTGTTGTATGCCCTGTTCTAGGGTCATCTTTATTCATATGTTTGAGGGGGTTGGCAACGGGAAAAGTCTGAAGAATAATTGACTGTCACCACCAGGACTCCAACCAGGGACCCTCGCTTATGGCCTGCGATGCACTATCTTTATCCTGCCTTTTTTGTGTGTGATTGTGCATGCGCACCTGTGCTTGACGCTTTGGTGTGTGTGTGTGTGTGTGTGTGTGTGTGTGTGTGTGTGTGTGTGTGTGTGTATGTATGGATGTATGTATGTACTTTTTCTGAAGTATTTATGTCCGCTTGACGCTTTTGGTATGTGTTTGCGTGTTTACAGACAGCTTCTGTTTGATCTGGGACTTGGTGGTAGCAGCAGCGCACACATGGAGTCTACTGGTGGTGGTGGTGCGAATACTTCACTTTGTTCAAGTGCTGCTGACATCCTGGATGGTAATGTTGTGTCAGCTCACCGAGTCTTGCTCTTCTGCCAAGCCAAGAGTGTGCTGGATATAGTGGAGAGTGACCTTCTCAAGTAAGTGAAATGGTCAGGTGCAGTTTTACCCTCTATTGTCTTGTATAGCCCTGTATAGCATTGTATAGCATTGTATAGCCTTGTAAGCCTTGTATAGCATTGTGTAGCCTTGTATAGCATTGTGTAGCCTTGCAAGCCTTGTATAGCATTGTGTAGCCTTGTAAGTTGTATAGCATTGTGTAGCCTAGATTGGTGGCTAACTGACCTGTGTTGGCTACGGTACTGTCTGGCACCGAAGAACTGGAGGAGGGGGTCAGCCTCCTATGCTAGACCATTCTTATTTTCATGTGTTACAGTCTATGCACAGTTGAGTCACCGTGCATACATTGGCATGCTGTGCTTGGTGAAATTCTGGGCCGTTCGTTCTTCGACGCTCCGCTCTTCAGCGCCCGACAGTACTGTCATTGACTGAGCATGAGGGTGACTGACTGGCGGTGGCTGGCGGTGGCTGGCTTATCTATCTTTTTGCTCAGCAACTGCTTTTGTATGCTGCGTGTCTTTGGGAATTTATTTTCAGTACTTTATAAGTACAGTAAAGCTCCCCCGGTTCAGGCAGGTTGAGACGGAGCACTGCCCCTGACTAGGAATTGCCCGTAACTCAGAACATACCTACTAGTGCATGCAAGTAAACATTTGTAATGAATAGTTTTTGGGGCCGTTTTTCTGTTGAAATGCCAATTCCTGTGACTATAGATGGTCAGAAAGGTGCCCAGTAGACAGAGGTGCCCGGATTAGGGACGTCTGGATCTGGGGAGTTTTACTGTAGTTCCAGCATTATATATGTGTCTTTGCTCGTGTACGTGCTGTGTGTGTGTGTGTGTGTGTGTGTGTGTGTGTGTCTGTGTGTGTGTGTGTGTGTGTGTGTGTGTGTGTGTGTGTGTGTGTGTATGTGTGTATGTACGTGCTGTTACTACGTAGGTCACACTTCCCTTGTATTTCCTACCTGCGACTGGACGGCAGTACACCGGCAATGGAGCGACATGGCCTTGTCACACGGTGTGTATTATGCCATGTTGTTATGATTATTATGACACTTCTCGCCATAATTATCAGTAATTTGTCCCGAGTATTCAACCATGTGGTTAGTGACCAGTCCAGGCCTGGTACATGGACACTAGTACATGGATTCTACTAACGCCTCTTGTACGTGCAAACAGAAATAATGTGAGTGCACCAAAGCTCAGGGGTCGGATTTCACTTGCCATTACTGTACATTGTTAAATCAATAGTGATAAAAATATATTTAAAAAACACACAAGGGATAGAGCAAACAGAACCCAATGTCATTGATCCGTCTCACCAGCAAGGGTAGTTAGAGCACATTAAGCTTTAAGGACACCAAGACAGCATGGACGTATAATAGCAAACCAAGTGTGCACAGACCACAGCAAGAAGGACCATCTCATGAATACTGTAGTGTCGCGTATAAAAGCATGACTCGAATAGAGTACATGAACAACAGCTGATCTTGCTTCCATAATTATAGTCCATTCAAGTCCATTGAAGTGAAATGTATACTATCTGTGCTTCTGTGTGTGTGTGTGTGTGTGTGTGTGTGTGTGTGTGTGTGTGTGTGTGTGTGTGTGTGTGTGTGTGTGTGTGTGTGTGTGTGTGTGTGTGTGTGTGTGTGTGTGTGTGTGTGTGTGTGTGTGTGTGTGTGTGTGTGTGTGTGTGTGTGTGTGTGTGTGTGTGTGTGTGTGTGTGTGTGTGTGTGTGTGTGTGTGTGTGTGTGTGTGTGTGTGTGTGTGTGTGTGTGTGTGTGTGTGTGTGTGTGTGTGTGTGTGTGTGTGTGTGTGTGTGTGTGTGTGTGTGTGTGTGTGTGTGTGTGTGTGTGTGTGTGTGTGTGTGTGTGTGTGTGTGTGTGTGTGTGTGTGTGTGTGTGTGTGTGTGTGTGTGTGTGTGTGTGTGTGTGTGTGTGTGTGTGTGTGTGTGTGTGTGTGTGTGTGTGTGTGTGTGTGTGTGTGTGTGTGTGTGTGTGTGTGTGTGTGTGTGTGTGTGTGTGTGTGTGTGTGTGTGTGTGTGTGTGTGTGTGTGTGTGTGTGTGTGTGTGTGTGTGTGTGTGTGTGTGTGTGTGTGTGTGTGTGTGTGTGTGTGTGTGTGTGTGTGTGTGTGTGTGTGTGTGTGTGTGTGTGTGTGTGTGTGTGTGTGTGTGTGTGTGTGTGTGTGTGTGTGTGTGTGTGTGTGTGTGTGTGTGTGTGTGTGTGTGTGTGTGTGTGTGTGTGTGTGTGTGTGTGTGTGTGTGTGTGTGTGTGTGTGTGTGTGTGTGTGTGTGTGTGTGTGTTTATCTGTTTATCTGTTTATCTATCTGTGTGTGTGTATGTGTGTATGCCTGTCTGTGTGTGTGTGTGTGTGTGTGTGTGTGTGTACATGTGTCTGTAGGTTCAACAACGATGCCAGTATAGATATGTTGCTGTTGACTACACACGTTGGTGGTCTGGGTCTAAACTTGACAGGTGCTGATACAGTTATCTTCATGGAACATGACTGGAATCCCATGAAGGACTTACAGGTTAGTATATCTACGGTTTCTGCTGCTGTTCCTGCTGTTACTTCTACTGCTGCTTCTACTGCTGCTTCTACTGCTGTTCCTGCTGTTGTTACTGCTGTTCCTGCTGTTGCTACTGCTGTTCCTGCTGTTGCTACTGCTGTTCCTGCTGTTGCTTCTCCTGCTGCTGTTGCTGTTGCTGCTGCCGTCGGAGAATCTGTTGTTGCTGCTGCTGCTGCTGCCGCCGCTGATGGTGATGATTCTGCTGTTGTTGCTGCTGTTGGTGATGTTGCTGCTGCTGCTTCTCTTGCTGCTGCCGCTGCTGTTGCTGCTGCTTCTGTTGCTGCCGCCGCCGCTGTTACTACTGCTGCTGCCACCGGTGATGGCGATGCTGCTGACAGTGCTGCTGATAGTGCAGCTTCAGTAGGAGCTAGTGGTGTACACCTGTGGTTCTTTGTAGCTGGACCTTGGCAGCTTCACACCCCCCCCCCCCCCTCTCTCCTCTACCTTCATCTCTTTTCTCTAAATGTCTGTGTCCGTGTATGTTTGTGTCTGGGTACATTTGTGTAATCCAGGCAATGGACCGAGCTCATCGTATTGGCCAGAAGAAGGTTGTCAATGTGTATCGTCTTGTAACACGTGGTACTATGGAAGAGAGAATAATGAGGTGAGTGACTGCAGATTTCAAAATGTGTGTGGGGGTGGGTGTGTTTTCAATGTAAAGTATACCCCCCCCCCATTGTCTAAGCGGATCTACGAAGTGACAGCCCGTTCTTTTGTTTGACGATTCCTGGTGCGATTCCGATAGCTCCATGAGGCATTAATATCTCTCTCTCTCTCTCTCTCTCTCTCTCTCTCTCTCTCTCTCTCTCTCTCTCTCTCTCTCTCTCTCTCTCTCTCTCTCTCTCTCTCTCTCTCTCTCTCTCTCTCTCTCTCTCTCTCTCTCTCTCTCTCTCTCTCTCTCTCTCTCTCTCTCTCTCTCTCTCTCTCTCTCTCTCTCTCTCTCTCTCTCTCTCTCTCTCTCTCTCTCTCTCTCTCTCTCTCTCTCTCTCTCTCTCTCTCTCTCTCTCTCTCTCTCTCCCTCTCTCTCTTCCCATAGAGTGTTCTCTTCGGGATTGTGAATTTTTTGGTATGTCTGTGCGTTTTCACATACATGTATATCCATCAAAATCGGTGTCGTATCTTTGTTGTTGTTGTTGTTGTTGTTGTTGTTGTTGTTGTTGTTGTTGTTGTTGTTGTCTTCAAAGATTCAAGCTGGGCAACGCAAACTCGGTGGTGACTGCAGAGAACTCCAGCCTGTCGTCAATGGACACACACCAACTGCTGGATCTGTTCCAAGGGGAGGAGACGTCATCGGTCACCAGGAAGGGCAAGGCAGCAGGTGGTTTGCAGCAAGCAGCTAGTTCCAGTGCTACTGCCGCCGGTGGTGGAGGCTCAATGAAGGCTGCTCTTGAAGACCTGGAAGAGCTGTGGGACAGTAAACAGTATGAGGAGGAGTATAGTCTAGATGGGTATCTGCAATCACTGAGCGACAAGACTTAGTGCTGCTTGTCTCCACACGTCACTCCTATCCTGCAGATCAGCATTGGCATGACTGGAGACTGGACGTCAGGCTGCAGGTGATATTCACTTGGTCAGTTTGCTGCGGCTATCAGTTACAGCCACCCGAGTCCTTTTTTATCCTTTCAGACAATGGCGTTATCAGCGCTGTCTCACATGCTACCCATGCGCTGTCTCACATGCTACCCATGCGCTGTCGTGCATATACCAGTCTGTGTAGTCGCTTTGTTTTTGTCAGCTGGATTTCCTGCTGTGTACATGGCCAATGCGCGGGGACGTACTGCATGCATGCCCAATGCGCGATTATGTACTGCATGCAGTGCGCGAGGACGTACTGCATGCATGCCCAATGCGCGAGGATGTACTGCATGCAGTGCGCGAGGATGTACTGCATGCAGTGCGCGAGGACGTACTGCATGCATGCCCAATTCGCGAGGATGTACTGCATGCACAGTCTGCCTGCACATGTGCTGCATGCACAGTCTGTCTGTCAACGCATGTGCTGCGTTAGCTGAGGATGTACTGTATGCACAGTCCGCTAGGACATGTTCAGCAAGAGTTGCTGCTACTGATGAGTTTGTACTTACCTTTGTGGAGCTGTGCTGCAATAGCACAGTGTTGACTGTTAAATACATCATGCTCGTCTGTTTGAGCCACGGTTCTCTGCAGTGTGCCCACTGACACCAGCTGGGAGCTTCCTCTCTTCAGAAAGGGCCAATTTCCCGTACTATGCCCTCTCTTCAGAACTACATTGATATCAAGCCCTGGGAGCTTGTATTTTTATGTGCGTATTCTGGCAGTTTTGACCTGTGTTTTTTATCTATGTGCGTGTCTTCTATTAATTCTGACATGTTTTTGGAAGTCATCTGGATAAGTAGGGTTAACAGGTATTTTGATTAGTTTTGCACCAGGTCGTGCCACCTTTTCGAGCATTATCCGCCAATGTCTAGTATCTTGTGTACTTTGCTTGACGTGTCCGAGGTACATCTTAGGCCGCGTTCGAATTGTCTTCATCAACTGTTCAAACAAATTTTTAAAAGAGTTTAGTTGAAGTGTCCCATTAGAACGGTTTCTATCATTTTACAGTTTATCAGTGGAATTGTCATGGCGATGATGACGTCCGATCAGATCGACCATCTCCACGCACTACGTGCTATTCCACACTCTTCGGAACTAATCCACCTCTCCCATCGGATGAGGTTGTGGAGTTTCGAGGAGTTTCGAGGAGCTTCGTTTTTCTGAAGAGGCCAATAAGGCC